TTTAAAGACTATGTAAACAAACCCATCGCATGCATCAACGCTATTTTTATTCGCTTCGTGGTATCATATTACGGCTACAGAAAGAAGTAATCGGGAGCAGATTAGAAAACACGTTTCAAAATCATGAAAAAGAACATTCAGGACATGATGAAAACAATTTCTTTTTCTATTCTATTTTCTACTTTACAACTTTTTTTTAATCCTCTATTTTTCCCTTTTCTCCAGCAATTTACAGCCGGCGAAAACCTCAGAGTAGCCGGCGATAGCGCCGGTCGCCAGCGCATTTTGACAACCCTGTGTCTTCAAATAAGACGTTGTAGTTGTTTTGGTTCAATTTTGTCCTTAGTTTAAATTTTATTTTCCTTTGTTAGAAACTCATTATCATACATTAACATACCCAAAAATAAAGGAAAATTAAAAATTAAACCAAGGATAAAATTGAACCACAACATAGACCATGGCTACGTGGTATACATAATTATTACACCCGTATAATAATTTGTTATTTATGTCTTATGTGTTATATTGGTTGAACACGCTGATGGCTTAAGAAACCAACAAAGCTACTTGTAAAAACCTGGCAATTGGTCAGTTTATCAATGCCAAGTTTAATCTGCTCTTTCCTTAAACAACAATTTTTGAAATAAAACAATCACTACAGTTTGCTACTGTTTAAAACCTCAAGAAAATTTAAAGAGAATGACAGACTTCCAAAACAAAGAAATATAATAAATTGGTTGGATATAGTTCACAGACTTTGCTCGTTAACAATATCGAGCTTCTTAAATATGGGTCACAGTTTAAAGCTGGATTAAGCAGAAAGCTAACGGGGACTTAAATTTTGCAAAGTAGATGGTACATGTAAACAAAACAAAGTGTTGAAACTAAACTAAAAATTTACTGAAATGAATAGCAGTATTAAAAGGGTTTAATAAGAGCATCATGATTAAATATCGCTCAACATAGTAAGAACCAACAAAATTATGTACTTATTTGGTTGAGCAATGTTGTTTTGTGAGTTTGAAATACAATGTACATGTAGTCTTTCAACCTCAGTCAACATCATTCAGCTAAGTTAGAGAATAACACTAAGAGATGTAAGTCTACAGAAATCATGTTTGCCAGTATCTAAACAAATAAGTAATTAGTGTGGCTAATGAAAGTTATTTTAGTTCATGTGGTTGTATTCTAATAGTTTTCAACATCACTTTAACTGAGGTCATATTCTGCCTCAGCCAAGCTTATTCTGAACTGAATTAAAAATATAACTGCTTGAAATTATTTGCAGAACTATAGAGAGGTGCTTTCGGCTGTCAACAGGCTTGAGATTATCACTCACGGCACATGCACAAAATCATTAGGATGATGTTAACAGCTAACTTGCAATTTAATGGCTGGAACAGGCTAATTTTAAAGTGGTCTTGCCCATAAACTTCATTTACTTCCATCAATAATAAAGCTCCTGAGGCATATTTTAAAATGTGAACGAATAGTACCTTTCTTAAAACGAAAATAATGGCGTTGAGCAAACATAGATGAAAACGAAAAGCATGGAAATTAGCACCCAAACCACTTCCGGGAAAGAAGTTATTATACATGTACTAAAAGTGCCAAAATCACGTATAAAGATAAAATTATAGAATTGGAAAAAAATAATTGATTGCATAATGGCAGTTCTGTATTAATTTTAACGACTCAAACAATGTAATTCGATGCGGTTTGGATGAGATTTTCGAATACGACTTGGCGGTTATAGATCACTGGTTATTGTTCGTTGAAGTAGAAAAGAAAAGAACCCTTGTACTAGTCGATGGATACACAGAGTTCTCTCGATCAAGATGGTAAATGCGGACAAAATTATACCAAAGGAAAGCCACAATTCACTTACTTATTAAAAAACTGCGTGAAGAAACAATAATAGGGAAAAAAGGAACGAGAAATCGAACTATGACTTGTATGAGACGAACACTGTCCAATATGATGTGGAGTTTATTATGCGAATGAACCTCGTGCAAAACACAAAGAAAAACATCGCTCGCAAAGCAAACGATGCTCAGCGTCATTTGCTATATGAAAAGAAAGCTAAAAACATGTTATATGAATGAATCAAGAGTTATCTAATAAAACAGAAAGGCTACATAAGCGAGAGGAAAGCAAAACATGAGCTCACTGTCACAACGAGTTAAATTAGAACTGACACCACAAACTTTCATTTTCGTGTGCACGGTTAAGTTAAACTTACCAGTTAAATTGTCCAGCATAAGGGAGAGTAGCTTAGCTGTTCCATTTTGTTCCCCATTTATACTTAATATATCCTGTGGTAACGGATTTCCTTGCAATCCAAGGGTTTGTAACTGGAAAAGTTTTCCCAGTTCGTTCGGTAAAATTCTCAGGTTATTATTGCAAAGAAGTAGTTCACGTAATGTGACCAGATCTCCAAGTTCACTGGGCAAACTTCTAAGTTTGTTCGATGATAAATCTAAATGCTTGAGTTGAGCAAGCCTAGAGATCTCCGGGGGAATCTTCGTTAGATTATTGTCGTTCAAAAACAACGCAGTCAAAAAATCGAGCTGCCAAAGTGTCGGGCTCAAATTACGGATCGTAGCCGTAATTTCCAGTTCGGTCCATTTTGACTTCTTGCCATTAGCTACATCCTCTGGGCTCATTAGAGTATAACTTCTTCGAACGTCATTATTTTCATGCTTTTCCTTTGGCATCTTGAACGAATCATGACACTTTTTTCCTGAAATAATACTCCACAAAGATGGCGTACAACATGGCCGCAGATAGACCCTCGAACAAGGCTTCGGATAGACCGGTGACGTCAGTAGTTTCTGGAATAATTATCATACATTAGCACTGCGGGATGAACACAGGACAGTCAATGTACAGCATTTTCTTCTCTGGCGGAGGAAGGAGAAGAACCGAACTTTGAACTTCAGTAAAATACAATGGCCTTGAGTAAAGTACAGGCTCTTACTCGTGACTAGTCAACGACAAACTTTGCCTCTAAAATTTTACTACTAGGACCGCGAGTTGAAAACGGACCACCAGAATCAATTTTTAATAACTTTAATTGTTTAAGCTTTTACTCTTACGTTTTAACTTCAGGCATCTAGTGAGAATCAATGCAACCAGATTAGTAGCATATCACATGTCTCAGCTACATAATCTGAGAACTGTAAGAGTCCGTTCCTGCTAAAAACAAGGAAATTGAATGCTAGTTTCTCATTTCGTATATCGCTTACAAAAAATGAGTCCAGGAGAATCCAAATCCAAATCCATAAGACTGCTAAAAATCTCTGTTCTCAAGCAAATCCGATACCTAAACATATCGTATGGGAAAATTACTGAATCAAACTTTTTTCATGGTGTCAAATAGAAAATTTCGCTGTCTATTGTTTAGTGATCCACAGTACTCACAGTTACAAGACTGTGTACCATGTGTTTTGTTCTCGCGCCTTTTCCGCAAAAACTACACCCCACAGCCTTTATTATCATCTTCAGTTCACGTTTTTTTAAAAAATAAAATAAAATTCTAAAAATTCAGGCTAAATCCAACCGCAGCCGGACTTCATCTTAAACTACTGTTTGTGCAATAACACGCCATAGTGCTTGCTGAGTAAACGGGGAAAGAGCTCTTTCCGTAACCGTTCCAGCCTCCGCAAAACGAGGTGTGGAAGAGAGAATTTTGAAGACATGTCAGGAGCCGATGCACATGTTAAGAGCTTCAAGACCGCATACCCAGTAACAAACCCCAGCTGGAGTGATGCCGGATCTTCACACAAGACGACCATTTTACTTAATTTTATTATAGTTTCATTTTCAACACAGATGTCTATGTTTTCATAGATTTGCAGTCGGGGTCAGTCAAACGCGGAGTATATCTTGTGGAAGAGGGCGCAGCACTACAATCCTGGACAGAATGAAATGGAACAGCAAACCCACATCCACCATGAAGCCGCACGAACGCTAACCTGCGAATACAGATGTCACTTCTTGCTCCTCGCCCCTCAGGAGAGAGGAGAGAAGGCTGTATTCGCAGGTTACGCGAACGCCAAAACGCCCCATCTTCCTTTATTTGGGCGGGGGAGAGGGGGTCTAAATTTTCCATGTTTTGCCCAAGAGTTGGAGCAAGTGGGAAAATATGGCTTCTCCGTGACCTTATTATGTGTGCCAAACATTTCATTGCCGCTAAACCTTTCAGTTGATGTACTGCACAAATCGTATTCCAAGACCAAGAAGACCAAGCAGCGCTGAAATCCAGGTTCCACTGGATCCAAATGTTATGTTTCTGACCCGAAATCCACACTTACTCCGTTCAGCATAAAATAGAAATGCATTCACATTGGTGTGTTCACAAAAGGGGTGCTCCTCGTTCCAGTCTCTTGCGGTCATGTTGTTCAGTTTGAACAGGAGAGATTCGCACTTCCAAGTCACCCTTGACGCAAAAACACACGGTACCAAAAATAGAGCAAAATTAAGGACAAAAGCAACCGCCATAAACACAGTAGGTGCACCGCTAAACTTATGAGTTAAAAATTCAAAATGCATGGAATCGAAGGCAAATACTGCAATACAGTTAGCACCAAACATTAGCCAATGAACAAGAAACCATGGTGCTAAAATTTGGGAGGCGGTTGCAAGTTGGCCACACAACTTCTGATGTAAGGCGATGATCTTATTAAGTGTTGCGTGACTCATAGAACAAATTTCATTGAAACATACATCGACTAAACTACTCATCGCACATGTCAGCACCACAAACACGCAAGTACATATGAATGCTGTCAGGTAAACAATTAAAACACCCGAACCGAACGTGCCGTAAAACTTCATTTTGCCGGATTTGACAATCGATATTCGAAGTGCGCTTGCAATAGTTATAGCAGTTGAGCAAATAATGAACATCACGTTAATAAACAACCACTCGCGTCGTGACACTTTCGCTCTCGCTGAGGCAAGAGAAAGCAAGGGCATTTGTTGTTGTACGCGGCATAAGGTATGGATTAAAAGAATGTATGTCATTGTGTCAGATAAAGCGTTCCACGCATCGAATGCCAATGTTATTTCGTAGATCTTGGCAGCATTGGATTCACTTGCATTGTTATTATTACTTGTCGCATTTGTCGCGCGGCTTTTTTGTGTCACACAACGATCTACAAAGGGCCCGCAAACGCTTGGAATTATAATTTCAGCCACCAGAGACAGGAAGTTTAAAGCGACAAAAAAGGCACAAAGAATAGAACAGGGGCTTTTCCGTGGATTCCACAGCCCGGTGGCTTTAGTTATGGAGCTAAACAGCATTCCGGAAGCGAGGATGTTGCAGCATGATGATCTTTGGTTCTCACGACTTTCAGTTTCAACATCTAAACTTTTTCTTGCTCCAGATTCAACATCATGATCAAAAGGTCCATCAAGTGTTGGGAAATGAACACCATCTGGCCCACAGGAGAGAGGATCCAGTGAGCTATCTTCGCAAATAGGTGATAACAAGGGACGTGTTTCCATCTCACACGCAGTTTTACAGTGATTCAAAGAGCAACTTCCGTCATCCTTGCACGAGGTCAAACTCTACTTGTTTCCTTGTTGGTTTTCACTGAGTTAAGACTTTCCTTTGCAAAATCACAACACTAAGTTCTTGATTTAAGGAGGCACGCTTAGAACGGCGTTAAAAAGAAATCGTGAGTTGCAAAATGCCTTGTGCGCAGACGTCACGCAATCCCTCTGTAAGAATTACTGTACTAGTAACAAGCAAAGGTTACGTATACGTAGTGTGGGCAACAACGATCGAAGGTCAAACAAGACGCTATTTCAGCGTGCACTTCGGCGTCGTGGTCGTGGAACTAATTGTGAATGCGGAGGAATAGTAAGAAATTATATTTTCCCGGATACCCTTCCGTGAAAATACCCTTACTTTTCTCCTTCTGAGTAACAAACGTCTTAACTCAGTTCACCGGAAGTCTGCTGGTACGAGGGGTCATCTCCGCCAATATCCTGTTTCAAATTTTGTTATGAAGAACCTGTATGCTATAAGTTTTCATCAAATTCCACGTTTCGATTATAATTTCTGTCATAAATAAATTGCGCACGACGAGATCTCAGTTCCACTTCCTTTATTTCCTCTACAATAACACTTTCCTTATGTACACCACACCTTCTCCAGCAACGTTACTAACATCAATACACTCCTTTACAAAACTTGCTGAAAATGCACAATCTCCAAACCGAGGATAATTCATATACAACATCGCAACATAAGCTTTAATAAATTACCGTAAAATTCCGAAAATAAGCCCCGGGGCTTATATTTTTTTAAAGGCCCTTTTTGAGGGGCTTATTTTGGGGCGACCCTTATTCTTGGAAGGAAATTTACCGTTTTTCTTTGTTTTACTTTGTTTTTAAGGGCAATTTCCAAGTACAAATCCCGGGGGGCCTTATATTTGGAGGGTTTTTTTGCGTTACGAGTTTGGGGAGCTTATATTTGGAGGGGCTTTTACATGGAGGGGCTTATTTTCGGAATTTTACTGTATTACATGAAAAGCAATAACACGCAATACAAAAACAAGTATAAAAACACCTACTCTTCCAATCAAAACGAAAAGAAGAATAATCAACCTCGTCCCCCGGGCTTTTCCCTTAAAAAATGGGCGGGGCGGGACCCACCCATTTTTTAAGGGAAAAGCCCTGGGGACGAGGTTGAAGAATAATGAACAGTTACAAAACCACAGTAACTGCCTTTTGCTTCTCCTTGTTGATCTGACAATCTATCGCTCAGTCCGAATCGAATCGCTTCGTCTACACGCAAGTGTTCCAGGCTCTTAGATAGTGGGGAAGCGAAAGTAAAAGACGCGTGCAAAGTTGGCGGGGCGGGAAAAAGGAAAAAGGAGGGGAGAGAGAGCCTCCGCCGCCACTGCTCTCCCCAGTTTCCTCCCGTTATATTTTCGTGTTTGTGCTTTCTCAATTCAGCGGACCTAACTATCTCGGAGCCTGGAACAGGCTAACACGCTATCCCAAAATTTTTTTCATAAAGGCATGTAACTTGTGTATCTTGACTTACTTAAAACTGATTTCGAGATATCTAGGACAACTTCCTGCCTCTCTTCGGAGGCAAACTGCAAGTTTACGAAATTCTTTAGCTTCGCAGTTGACGAAAGGTAGTCCGCCTGATGCCTTTTTAGCTGCAATGTCACTTAAAAGCTTGGAAAGATCCATATTTTCTTTAGCTTGAATTTTTATGACGTCTTGTGAACAGCAATATACATGAAAAAAAAAAATGGCGACACACTGTATTTCCTCCTTAGATCATTCTCTCTTGATTTCCTCAAATAATAGCTTGGGCGATTATTCTGTTTTTCGCACAAAAAGGGGGCGATTATTGGAGGGAGGAGGATTATTTTAAATGTCTCCGTCTAAAAGGGGCGACAAGAGAGAATGAGCTCTTCGGCAGCTACTCTGGCCAGATTTTTCCGCGTAGAAATCTTTTGACTCGTCGGCGAAAGTAAAACCAAGTTTGCACGTCATATCGCTTGCTGTGAGTGATCGGCAGTAAAATGAATTACCCGCCAAGTTCAAAATTACATGACGCCGCCACTCAAACCGACCAATAAGGTGGCGTCCTTAAAATAACCACGCAGTATGACATAGAACCAAGAATAGATTGAAAATAATTTTCATGGAAAGAGGGTCATGCATGAGGGATTCGCTCTCTTTGATCATTCTCTCTTGGGCGCGATTATTCGAGGGGGGTGGGGTGGCGATTAATCGAGGGACGGCTATTATTCGAGGAAATTCGGTTACTTTGTTAGAGTATGGTCTCCTAGGGGTCAAATAAAGCCTAAGCCACGCACAAACGGGTCTCCTTTGGGTTTATTTCAAACAAAATTATTGTCACGCTTGTCACACAAGGTTTGCAGTCTTCTCCCCTCTTCTGTCCTCTTGCGTAAGTTCACTAATAGTAAATAACGCATCACGCTGCTACGCCCGATCACGCATCACGCTGATAATGGTCCCATCACGCGTCACGGAAAACCCTTTGCCACCTTGTTTAATATGATTGCATGCACCGCCCCGCTTTCATCCTCGTGGGGTTAATTAAGTGAATAGGTGGAAAGCTTGACTTTAGCTGGATCCGTCAGTCAGTGAGTACAAATGATTTTCGCTTTTTATAGCCGTGAACGTGGCTTGCAATGAACGTTTGATTGCACAATGAGAAAATAATTCCACTTTTCTGTTACAATGTGGCCAGTTTTTGCTGTTTTGTACAAGTTGACAAACGTGTATTCATTGCGAATAGGTTCAGCTTTAAAAATACTGGTATCACGATACGGCTCTACTGTCTATAAGCCAGACACCTCTTTAAGACGGACAGTCAGGGCCGGTCCCGAAGGTGTCCGTCTCCTGCTCTTAGAAAGAGTTGATTGTGCATACACCTAGTAGAATGGGGGTGCCAGGCCAGTTTTTGATTGTCCGCGTTGCAGACGTTGAAAGCCGGACGGAAGCTAGGGGAAAAGGAAAGCTGGGCTTTTAAAATGGGAAACACCATCTCTTCATCCTCGTGCGAACATCGTGTTCTCTCGAGCATTTCATTTTCCTTCCCCTCCAAAAAACTACTATGCAGGCTAAGGATCTCCTGAGGTACTCCCATAAATGGGCTAGATGGAAATATGAGGCGCCTGATATAAGGATATGGTTTTTTTGAGGGTCTCCATAGGCATTAAAAACACTGGGTATCATTTTGCTCTTGTTGCCACTATGTTCCCGGTGTGATCCTTACTAAGATAGGCTACCATTATTATATCAGCTAAAATTCAAGTGCGTAAATGCCCAGTTACCTGAGAAAAAAATTCGCTGTTAAAACTTAACGTTACCTTGGAGTTTTAGAAAAGCGATTAAAGGAAGATTTGCGTCAGTTTTTCCCTTGCTTTAATTGGGTCTCATTTTCCAGGTTTGGGTCTCAGATAGGGCATCAGTTTTTGTTCGTCTCACTTTTAAATACGCTCAGGGTTTAAGATCCTAGGCGGCACCCAAAACCGTCAAAACGCAGAACCCACAGGGATGAACGAGCATTTGAACTTGTTTCTTATCTAGAATATAATCGCTATTTATGATCCCTTCAACATCAGTAAGCTTTTAGTGATTGTTTCACAGTGATGCAGGACGTCGCCGATTCGTGCAAAAGAGAAGCATCCAGGAAAAAAAGTGTCATGTGGCTTTTGAAGAAAAGCCTGAGGAATACGAGAAATGGATCGCGGATTGGAAGAAGAAGGACAACGCGAAGGCCTTTTACGTATAGATAGCGATACACTTGTTCACATACCTTTTATAACTTGAAAGCGTTTACTGATTTTGCTATATAACCTTATTTTGATAAACAACGAATAAAACGTTTAAATCATCACAGTCTGATTCAGAGGTCAAAGAAAGCCTCCGTGAAATCCACAAAGGCTTAAGTCTTTCTTACGCATGTTTCATGATTTATTTGGTTTGTTAGTTTGGTTGTCCCAGTTAAGTAAGCCTTGGACTAAATAGCCAGCAGTGCAGGCATATTTTGGGTGGGCGAAACCTTGTTCGTGTTCGTAATAGAGCGGTTTTCACTTGACTGTCGTAAAACCAAAACCAAAGTAAATACACTAGCCAACCAAAGGGCGTAGTAAAACCAAAACCAAAACCAAAACCAATCCCTTTCGACAGTCAAGTGAAAACCGCTCTATTGTTGTAGCAGCCATCTTTGATTTTATGACAGTGGAAGATTGGGGAGAGTAGAAATAGTAACCCTTACGGTAGGTGCCCCATCTCCTCCTCTCTTCTGGAAGTTTCAACGTGGCGCTTTCGCGAGCAAATTGCATTGCGCGCTCGAAGAAAACGCCTGCACTGCAGGCTATGGACTAAAAATCAAAGACGACTGGTCGGTCTCAGGTGTACATGTATCTGTAGATCTCTTGCCCATTGGTTAAAACTGACCGTTTTGTGTTAATCTCCTCTTGGGAACTGGAAACCGGTTTCAACACAAGTCGTTTCGATGCGAACTTAAATAAAGAAATTGCACAAAAATTTCGTTCACTTCAAGTATAGTTTGCTGGTGAACAAGAAAAACATTTTGGGTGAATACATCTTCGTTCTTTAAGTACGTGGAACTTTTTACACCTGTCGAAACAAACGGTAACCTTTGGGAATCTACTTTGATTGGAAACCTGTTGCTTTTTATATGTTCTCGTTTCCTTCGTCTTTGTTGTGGTCGCTCGAGCTCGCTCAGTAGTGTTACCACGCAAAACAATTCTTGATATGCGACGATTTCGTTGAAAAACCGACGATTTGATGGAAACGCTCGGCGAAAACGACGTCCGCAGGTACCCAGAGAGAGGCTCATTAAATCACCGGCAAATAAATGCACGCGCTGGCAAGGTGCTGGCTGGGAAATTAACCAGAACGAGGTTGAGGAGATTCCGCAAACTGGCTCCCGTCAACCAATAGGCCATTTCCGAGTTCCCCGAGCCTCTGTATGAAAACGA